TCTTTTTTTTTCGTCTTCTAGGTTTACTGAGCGATTAGATAGAGTGATTTTTAAAACGCGAATCCCGGATGGCGCTCTACAACGCAATTGTTAAAAGGGTTGCTACAAGGGTAAGGTAAGCTAGCCGTAGGGCAATAAGTCGAACAAGGATCAGGCGAAATACATTTTATTGTTACCAATGGATTCAGCGCAGACCTCCTTTCCTAAATTAAGGGAAACTGTTGTGGGATGCAATTTAAAAACAGTCAAAGCGATCCTAAAATCGCAGAAAATGATGAGCGATACAAAATAACCATACTGCCACATCCCCCTCAAAACCGACCGAACGTTCCTCTCGTTTGTGAATTTTCTAGAAGGTTCCTCGGGAAGCCGGTAAATCGGTCACCTCAGGAAAAGAAACAAAACAGAGAAATAAAACGAGAAAAAAAAGGAAACAAAAACACCTTTCTTACGTACAAAACACATTTTTCTTTTTCCTCCGCCCTTTGGATAACGTCGAGTAAAACGAGTAAAGGAGTACAAGTAAAAAGAAGAAAAAAAAAAGAGAAAAGAACGCATTCTCTCGTACATGCCCGTTTAAAATTTAGCCACAAGTCGTATCCTCCCTTAAAATGTCAAGTCATATACAGATATAAAAATAGTTACGCGTGAAAACCGAAAAGGAAAGGGGGGGAGGGGGGAAGGAAAGAAAGAAAAAGAAGAGAAACGGAAATTCGAGAAAGGGCCACGACTCTCGGGGCGAGTGAAGGCTGGATGTGTCGAGTATTTGTACAGTTAGTAAAATGGAAATTTCCGACAAAAATCTAATAAAACGGATAAGATCTCAAATTCGAAGCCTGCCGGGCTTGCTTTCGGCTTCTCCCTCCCTGTCTCTCCCTCTCATCCCCCCCTCTCTCTCTCTCTCTACCTGTATTGGGCCCATCTAAAGGGCCTGGAATGGCGGAAGCCGTTATCCTCGAATTTTGAAAAGTCGCTCCCGTAGCATCTCGAGGAGCCACTCTACATATCTAAATACGTTAAATAAAAACACAGCATCGTCATAGATTTCACGTCATAGACTCAAGAACCCTGTCAGTCCCACCGACAGTCTTCAGGGATTGTACAAAAGCGACGGAACGGCGACAGCAAAGCTTTCTAGACAGTGAAGACGCTCTCGGTGTACAAGGAAAAAAGAAAAAAAAAAGAGAGACGAAAAAAGGAGACAAAAAGTAGAATATAGGAAGAAAAAAGAAAAGGGTCCGTAATAGCGGTGATTTATACCTATTTACACTAGAAACGCTCGCGCGATTTCGATCGGATTACCGAGCGGGGGAAGGTCTTTTCCCCCGACTCGGTACGTAGCTACTCGTTACATATCACGGCCGGATATATCAAAGGGTGCTTTCCTCTTGTAATTACACCACCGACTCCGTCAAGACGTCGAATTAAACAAGACTCGACGTTTATGTTGGCACACGCCCATATCCGCAGGAGCGCGACAATTTTCAAAGGAACGTCTAATTCGCGTCCGCCCACAACCTAACCTCCACGCTGATAGAAAAGATTAATTAACTGAAAGAAATATATATATCGTTGGCATAGGGGTTGTTGCCTGACCCATATATACACACAATTACAAGAAACGATTAATTTCTCTAGAAAGAAAAAAAATTGACGTTAATTCAAACGAATTTTATTTACTAAATCTGGACGTTCCTTTGGGTGGTATTCCATCAAAGGATTTTGTTCTCCCAATGTATATTTCTTTCAGCCAACCAACGTTTCCATTTACAGTGCACTTGCGCGGATACAGGAATTGGCGTTTTTAATCGTTATAAAATCAGTATAAAAGTATGCAGAACTGCGATACGTCGCCCACAATCAGCGAAGCTCTGTCTTGATAATCGAATCGAGCCTCCAGATATAATCTTAAGCGTCGCTCGCAATCGATTTAATACGAGATAGCGCAGAACATAGTGTTGGTGCAGAAGTATGGTAACATGGATTACAACGTGCAATCGGTAGGGGAAAAAGTTTGCAGTCTCCAAAAAACTTTCTTGCCCACCGCCACTAAGTACAACGTCTCCACCGGCGCCTTAAATGTCGGATTTGTAAGTATGGAATTAACGAGCCTGCTATTTAGTACCGTTTCCACCTAGTATTCAAACATTAGATTTAAAGATCTTCAATAAATAAAAGACCAAGGTTCAGATACCGACCGCGCCCAACGTTGCTTAATTTCGATGATCTTCAGAGAACCCGTGCTTTCAATGCGACGTGAATTTTGACGCCGCGATATTACAGTCATATTACCTCGTAACTCAGTCTCAGCGTCGAGTCAACGCTAACGAAGAGATACCTTTTCCGAGCGAATGCAACGACCAATTAGAATTCGCCATAGACATAGGAATATAGAGACATAGCATAAAGTACAATCTCAGACAAGGGGAGTGAAGCCGAATTGCGGGGGGATCTGGTGCCTGAATCTTGAAAATCCTGAGCCTGAATTTTGAAAATCCTACCTGTTCTTACGGGACGGCACAATACAGTGCACCATTCTTTTACTTTGATAGAAACGATTTTTTTTATAATCTCACAAAAATACGTAACTACTTCCCACGTTTTCATAATCTCCTTCGAATGCATTTCTACATCATTACGCTTGCGCAGAACATTAGCCAATCAAAGTTAGGCACCAAATACATCACCCTCCCCTCAGTAGCCCCCCCCCCCGCAGCATTACACGCTGTTTCTGTATTCCTATATCTATGGAATTCGTCCCAATCTGTTCTGCATCGCCGAATCGCAGAGGGCGACGGCCACTGCAAGTTTATTTGAACGCAACTGCACTATTACACGTCTGCACTGTCCCTGTACAAAATCGAGTGTCAACGATACTTTAGGTCCGGTTGCACCAACATCCGAGTTAAAATCGTTAACCCTCCAGCTACAACGGATCGCGAGGTGTGAATATTGCAAATAAATGCGATATCCATGGATCACCATAAATGCGTGACAAAGGAAGGATTCGATATGGTGGCGTTTTGTTAAAAGGAAAAGAAGAAAAGAAAAACGACACTAGGGAACAATTCACTACAATGGCCCTTCGTAGCTAAAGGAGTAATCTAGGATTACTTAACGCACGGTCAGAGTTAATCGCCCGACTTCTGGTAGTTGTCTGAAACTGAATTATCGGTGGGCCTAATTTCTGTCGGTGCAAATTTTACCCAACTCGAAAAGTCAAACGATCTTAGTTAAGGGATTTCACGGTAATCGGTGTTGGTACAGCCGGTCCTTAAACGCAAGTACACAGTCGAATTGGACGCGAGTCGATCCGCGCCCAGCAAAGGGAGAGCACCCTGAGGTATCCCCTAGAAGTGTCGGCGAGCGACGATAAAATTGCAAGTAACCTAGTATCACAACAATAAGCAACGGGGGATGGGTTGAGAGAAAATTTGCCTAGACAAGACGCGCTCCCTTGGTTGCGCCAAAGAAAAAATGTCGCGTCGTCCTCTCGAAACGTAGAAAAATACACGGTCCGTCCACAAAAAGCTCCCTCCTCCGCGACGACCGCGAGATTTATCCGACGCGATTGCCTCGGCCCGGTCCTCGTCGTGTACCTTCGAGCACGTCAAACGAAAAGCTAGGTGTCCTCCTTTTTCTAAAATAATAATTAAAAAAAAAAACACACTTCTCGTCCCTCCTTCCATCGCGGCGGATGGTCTCGACTGGCGTTGGGCACCGACATCGCCAGATAGTTCTACACGAAGACAATGCTTCAAACCTCTGTAACGCCATCGACATTTCCTTCGAATCTCCATAAATGTTTCCGACAAACCACCGCAACCAAGGAACTCGTTTATAAATTGTAAATACAACCAAATGGTTTATATCGAAAGGCTGATGGTTGATATCTGCCAATTTTACGATAAATCAGTTTCCTCATTGGCTTGGAAAATAAATTCGGTTACAGAGGCTTAAGGCGTTAGAAAAGTGTCACATGTATGTGTATCAAAAAGTCAAAATATTTATAAAACTTTTCTTCACACTGGATGCACCAAATAATTTGACACTTTAGCCACGTAATCATGGAGATCCTAATGAAAATCTCGAAACTCGCGAAATTTCATATTTCGAAAAGAAATTTTTTTATTTCGCCCGGACAAGAACGAAAAAGAAATTTCTTGTTTTTTTTTTTTTTTTTTGAAAGATGAAATTTCGTGAATCAGGGCCTCCATAATCACGTGTCAAAGGTTTCAAATTATTCGGTGCATCCAGATTGGAGAAAAGTTCAATGAACAATTGAGCCCTTCGGATGTCACTTTCAAAGCCCCTATGAGAGTTCACGACGGACGACCTGATACATTCTCGTCGTCGAAAGGACACGAAGCGATACCGGGGACGGCGTCGTCGGAGTGAAACTTCGTCCAAGACCGCGGCCCGAAGAAAATCCAGAAGAAAATCTAGGAGAAAATCCAAGGAACCCCGCGACAAGTCTGCCCAACGCCATCTATAACGTGAGATCTATGTTAGCCTAATCGAGCCGGGCCCTACGGGCCCAGGTCTCGCGGATGTTCGCCTCGATTCTGCCTCGCTCTCGATCCTCTCGTACCTCTCGTCCTCTCATTCCTCCCTCAACCTGAAGTCGCTCGCGAGGGGCGGGGGGTCGCAGGCTTTACTCGACGCGGCTTTAACGGGTACTACGATGCGAAACGGAGCATGTTACGACGCGAATTGCGCAAATGCCGCTAAGTTGGCGTGTATTTCATTGTTTTCCTCTTCATCTTCAGTTAAGGTACCGCGAAAAAGGACGTAGCCCCCGAATAGGGCCACCTTGCCTAAAGAAAGATCCCCTAGAGAATGGTCGTCCTAGGACCCGAAGCAAGGTTCCCCTGTCCTCCCTCCCTCCCTCCCACTACCACCCCAACGTGTTGATTGTCTCAATTTGTCAATATCCCGATTTGTCAATAATTTCGTTTGCCGTTCAATGTCTCGGTNCCCACCCACCCTCCCATCCCGGATTCCTCTCCATCGGCCAGAATGTGTCTCTCCGATGACGTTGCCTTTCCTGGTTACACGGGCAGGAGTTTCCTCCAGCCAGCCTCCCGTTGTCTCCGCGCGGCGGTGCGGGCTGACGGCGACGGTGCCGACGGTGTCGGCGACGACGACGACGACTGTGCGGCCATCAGATCCCCCGAGGCCCCCGGCGGTCGGTCGACAACGACCGCGAGGCTAGCGCGACGACGCCGACGGCTGCGACGGCGGCTGCGGCGACGGTGACGGTCTTGATCGGAAGAGGCCGTGGTTTCACCCACCCACCCTGTCCACCCTTATTATTCTTCCCCGCCCAACCCCGTTCGGCCATTCCCCGGAAGCGGCCGTCTGCAACATCCCGTTAGGCGATCCTTCGTTAGCTCGGTCCTTAGGCTAGGATCCTTCGCTCGATTTTCTGGACCGAGATCGTCTCGTTCAAGCAGTCGACGAACGTGGATCTCGGGATCCCGGATCGTTTGATAAGTTTATCGGATACCAAGAAACTCGGTGGGGTTTCGCGCCGAATATCAACTTATGCCACGAGTTCCTTGTGGACCCTTTTTGTGTTGTAGAATATGTACTTAAAGTAAAATGAAAAAATATCGATCACCGGTACATTCTCCATCATTTACAGCTTCTCTCGAACATCCTGGTAGTTTTTCTAGCCCTCGTATAAAAGAACAATAATGTGACAAAATTTGAGATACTTAAACGACACAAAATCAGGGGCCACAAAATGTATTTCAAGAAATGAAATCAAAGAGTCTCGATCAGCAGCATATTCTCTATTGTTCACAGCTTCTTTTGAACCTTTGGGAATCTTCTTTTATCCCTCACATAGAAAACAATGTGTCAAAATTTGGAATATTTAAACGGCACGAACTCAGGGACCCCCGCACTACAACTGATATTGGCACGAAACGCTCACCTAGTTTTATCCGCGATGTTTACGCTAGTGCATTATCTATTATTGAGATATCTCTTACCATAAGTAGGCGGGGCCGCTCAGACGCCGTACATGCTCTGCAGCCTCTCATTGAGCGGCGCCGGGAATTGATCGGAGAACCGTTTCCAGTTTTCAGTGCCGACTTGGTTTTTGAATCCGTGCAATATCTGCAAAACAAAGGTCGATCAACGTTAAGATCTCCTAGCGGTCATTTGGGCGACGCACACAGGAATATTTGTATAGAACAAAAGTTTTGTATGTACGTGTAACCTTTAAAAATCGACCGATGGCCACGTTTTATATTAAAGTAAATTCTCCTATGTGCGACGATTCGTCGTTGTTTCTCCCTCTGATTTTTTTTTTTTATTTTCATTATAACGCACCTTTTGAAACATGTCTTTGAGATCCTCGCGTGGCGTTGTCCACGACGCCACGGCGTCGCAGAAGAAAATGAAGTCCGGTACTACGCCGCCCGGATTGACGGTTATCATCTGACACATTCCCCGGAACGCAGAGTCTTTCTCCTCGTTGTCGCGAATGTTCCTCAGGGAGGTGCACCTATCGACGATAAAAAGTTAGGGACCGATAATCAGGTTCAAAGCGACGAAAAACGTGGCATTCGAAGGGGGTAGATCGCGAGAGCCTTCCTCGATTTGCCCCGACTCGTCGCCGTTACTACGTCGACATTGTTTTAACCAAAATGTCGGAGCGAATCGGGGAAGGTATTCTGAAAGTCTCCTTGATGGACTCCTAAGTATTTCGTTTCTCTTCTCTTGGCCAGAATCGACCGATGAGTTACCACCTTCGCGATCCGACTATTTGAAAAGTGGGCTGAATAGGTTATGTTTAAGTGTTTGAGTGTTGAAGCTTCGTTCAGAGAGAAAGGCACGTGTTAAGTAGCTTTTAGTCTTAGTTCGTGGAATAAAGAGTAACGAGTGATTTATTCAACTTGGAAGTCAAGTCTTAAAAAAAAAAAAGTAATTGTAATGTTACGAATAATGCCTCGCTCCCTTGAAACTGTACTGATATATAATAATTGGTTAAGACTTCTGGTACACACTGTACAATTAGCGAAATGTAAAATGCTTCCATTAAGTCTAAAAGAGTCAGTATTCGAGCCGATTGCAAAATAAAAATGACGAAAAGCTTGTAACGTGGCCTCGCTGAATAATAATAACATAATACAATGCAGAAGACTGTCGCTCTACTTGCTACGTTTTCCTTTCTAGCGATAATGTGTAATCGTGACTTCTGCATCGATGAACTACTCAAAATAATAACATTCTTCAAAGTGACACTAATTGTTTGACGGAGGAAAATATTGCCGACAGTTGAAGTGCAATCGGCTTGAAGATCAACTCCCTGCAGCACCTGATACCTTGTATACAGGATGTATATAGGGATGTATCATCAATTTAATATATATATATATGTAATAAAGTGCTAATAAAAATAGAATTGGTAGAATATAATAATAAAGAAATTTACACACCACTGTCGGACAAACTGCTGTAACATGGGGGCGACGTCGTGGGGACACACAAAACCTAGGCGACCGATCGTAATGGCTACGGTTTCGTATTCATTTCGGTAAGTAGTCAAGTGAAGTGTAGTGAAGTGACCGGAAACACAAACAATAAGACAAACTGATAGCGAACCAACAATCAACTCAGGGTGAGAATATGCGCTGCACGTTAATTCTCAATTAATCGGCAATCAATAGAGACAATGTAACAACACATAGAGACGAACGTATGAAATATATCGAAATATATAGTCAACATAGGTAAGACCGTGCTAGATATATATCATATACATGTATATATCTATAATATTTAGATTTCGTGGCTGCTGAAACAATAACAAAAATTAGATAGCAGCGTGCGAGCCCATGATCAAATAACCGGCATATGATAATGAATAATCGTGACATGTACGATCAAATTATAAGCGTCTAATGAACTCATTTGCTTTAATTCGATTCCGTTTGCCGTGACGGATTATCTAAAACATCGTCGAGAAATTATAAGATCGGGCATTTTTTAGGGGTCAATCATTGCCCATTATTTTGTAGTAATCTTTACCGAGCTTTTAGGTTTTCGCACACCACTAAAATTAAATACAGTGCACAAATACACGTAATAAGTCGACTGGTTATCGTGCAAGCGCTGTCCTACGAGACCACTTTAGATCCTAGAAATTTTACGCTGCGTCCTTCCGCGTGGTCATCGGTGTCAGCAAAAAATAATTCGCTAAATAAATCATTGGCGAACCTAAAACCGAACTTCATCTAAGAGCTAAGTATGCTACTTTGTAAACGGGTTGCTATTTACATTAGGAAACCCTTCGTTGAGTCATCTGGAGTACATATTATTTTTTAACTTTCTGCATCGAGGGCACATCATGGGCACTACTACTGTCAACAAAAAGCATCCTAGTGTAAGCAAAAATAATGTACTTGAGAGAGGCATTTTACTGCTCTACTTCTAGTTAAATGTTGAATTACATCGTTGCATTCGTTATCGATCGATTGCATCCGATCACAGGGACCGAGGACAAAGATACGTTATCGAGGAGTCACTTACCGGTGTTTTCCAGGAGAGTTTTGGGCGTGTTCGGCCGATTGATTATGTCGATCAGCTGAGTCAAGATCAAGGGAATGTAGGCGCTCGTATCGGGACCTAGAAATCGGATTGATCGATTACCTTTAAAGTAAATCCCCTGTTAATACATATGACTGAAACTTACCAAGTTTAATTGCTATTTCTCCTATTGCCCAGGTGGCGTTGTTGCATACGGATATAAACTCTGGATTCAAGTTCTGCCCCAGTATCGGCATAAAGTCCGCTGTAGAGGAAAAATGACATCCATGAAGCACCGGTTGAAAATTTCACTGTTGATAGAATCAAGCTTGGTTAATTTCCCTGGATGCTTACGCGTACAAGGTAGAACATGTTGAAAGCAAGCCTTCGTGAGGTCTCCAAGGAGAGCAAAACTACTTTGCCTGACTTCTGGCATCGGATCCTGCATACACTGATACAACAACTGCATCACATTGCTATTAACAACTAAACGTTCCATGTGGCCATCGAGTCCTTCTGCTAAACCGCTAAGAAGGTCCAGAGCGACAATCATGAAATCTTTGTCTGGAGCTTCAAATTGTTCTGGACTCTGCGTATTGGCAATATGTTGATTTAAGGTCTGCTCTACAAGAGACACGCAACGCCTGTACAAAACAAATGTAAAATCAATTGTCATCTTTACAGATACAGAAATAATTTCATTTAATTGAATTAAGTGAACATGTTTGTACCTGTAGACGGGTTCACAGTAAGGTAGAAATCCAGATTGCAAAGCAGTCGCAACAGACGAAAGACATTCCAACAGTGGAAAGAGATCCTTGTCTTCGTCTTTTAACACGTTCCATTTGGTAATTAAAGGTGGCATGAGAAGATTAATATAATCTGGTTTATTCAGATGATGACCCACTGAATCTGCGAGCGTTCCAATAGCGTCATACAGAATCAAGAGATTTTTGTGTTGATACTTGCCTATGGAGAATCAAGTCAGGATTATTAGTCATAGAAATTAATCCAAATATCTCATCATTATAATCATTTTAGATGCATCTTACTTCTTAAAAAAATACTTACCAAACGCGAAGACCAACGTCTCAAGAATAAATCCAAGGTACGGCACCAACTCCGTACATGCTTCCTCTTCCAAAGTAGCAAACGACGAACATGCGGCTTCCTGTACACGTTTATTGCCATCGAGAACTCTTTTCAGTAATTCCGTCATTAAAGGTTTCAAATGTGTGTCATGTGGCTGTGAGCATACCCAATGGGCATATCTGCTCAACGTCCAACAAGTTATGGCGCGCACTAATGCTTTCTTGTCACTCAAGCAACTTATCAGATAAGGAATAAGTTCTGACAAGTGTGGAATCATCCCCGTCATACAACCTGAGAGAGCAAATATTGTCTTTAAATGTAGCCCTTATATCAAATATTTTGATTTTGAAATTATCTGATCAAATAATACTTTCTCTTTGAAAATAAAAAGAGGTCCAAGAAGACAAATCAATATGATCATATTAATGAATTAAGTAAAAAAAAATTGATCAAAGCCCAAAAATGAATTACCTTCTGCAATAGCACCCAGAGCGAGAATACCAGATTCCTTGATTTCCCAATCTTGGTGAAAGAGGGTCTCTTTTAATATTGGTACTAAAACAGGTAAAAGCTCTTCTCTAAAGACACCAGCCAACATGTCCAGAGCTGCAGCTGAGCATTTCCTCAAATTCCAGTCACTTAGAGTAGAATCATCGTCACCGCCGTCTTCTGCATCAGAATCTTCATCATCTCCACAACCACCATTTTCATCTGTATGTTTATTCATACCATGATGACTGTGATGAGTCCTTGATTTATGAAACCTGGGTCTAATATCCTCCTCTCTATCGGGGATCATTTCATCCTCCTCGACATCGCCTTTCAGAAGTATTATATCAATCTCTGAGTATTTCATGCCTCTCACCTATAGTAGAAAATTTAATAGATATATGTACAGAAAAGATTTTAAAGATGAGATAGAATTTATACACAACTGATCGATTAATTACGTACCAAAATGGGAACTAATCGAGTTAGATGCGGTGCAAGTGCTTCTTTACAAATTGCTTGTTCTGCTAGAGATAGCCAAAATTCGCAAGCTTCAAGTGCAACACCTTCATCAGGATCCTGAGTTCGCATCAGCATGTATTCGATAATACTATGCATGTGAGGAATTAATCTATCGATTCGTACTTCCAGCAACATAACCAAAGCTCTGAAAGAAAATATGAAATGGTATAAATTAGTTTTATAATTCCATTACATTTTATTAATTTTTATAAATGAAATTTAATGCAATGTTAACCAACCTGCAAACATTTTTCCTCACTTCAGGATCGTCATCGGTTGCCAAGTGGAAGAGATTCTCCAAAAAACTATCGATATGTACCATCAATGGCTGTGTACGGCTAACAATGAACTGATTGACACATGCAATTGCATGTGATCTAATCTTTGGGCTAGAGTGCCTGAAAAACTGGAGGAACTTGGGAATAAGAACGTTCAATGGACGATTCAAAGCGTCAGAGTCGAGAATCTCTGAGGAGTCTTCACAAATTTTCTGCAAAGCACCAAAGGCTCCCTCGCAAACATTGTAGTCTTGCGAATCCAACATCTGGCACAAAGTTGGCAATAGTTCTGGCCAAGAAGTCAATTCACCTATTGTAGTGAATAAGCAGTAATAACAAATTATTTAATTTTAATAGATACATGGACTAATACTATATATTACACATTATTAAAAATTGACCGTTACTCACCTTTCGATGCAATGGTTGTTATCAAGATACCTACAGTAGCTCTTATCAGAGGAGAGGGATCGCCAACAGCTGATAAGCATTCCTGTTTAACAAAGTTTGTTACATCTGGGAGGAATTTGTGGGAGTGCGCCTTGACATTGTTCTTCAGAATTAATCCACTGAGAGATCTTGTGGGCTCATCTTGCAATAAAAAATAATCATGGTATTAAAAACAAGAATGGAATTTATTTTATTGATACGCTCGCATTATTTCAAGTTATTAGGTCCATTATATTTAATAAAAATAATATAAATCACATAGTATATAACTATACCATGTTACACGTTTCATAACCTAAATAGAAGTTAAATTATATTATTTAAAAATATCAATTTTCCATACCTTCTGAAGTCAAATTTGTTAAGACAAATATGAGGTAATTATTGAAATCCGGAAATTTATTCAGCTCCTCCAATTTCTGTACAAATGACTATTAAGGAAATAATTGATTTTCATGGTACTTTGTGCTCATGCTTTTTTATAACTATTTAAATAACGTGAATGTTACACGTAACAAAGTTTTTTTTTATATATATAAACAATCTAAGCAATTGTAACAATAAGTATAAAAATGGACATAACTCTATAACATTCCTTATAAAAAGTATTGAGGTCATGGTATAGGAGCTACCATACGACGTAAAGTTAGACCTAAACCATATGGCCTTCTTTGAAATTTCTACTGACGTACATCAAGATTAATGGTTATTCTCTTCATAAATCCAAAAAGTCAAGTAAAGCGATGTAGGAAAATTATTAATTCAGATAAAATAAATAAAATTTCATCGTTCCAAGCCACAGTGGGGAGATAAGTCAGTGGATATCTCATATACGTGTCCCTTATAAGACTGACCGATGATCAAAACTCCTGAAAATTAACACCGGAGAATATTAAAGCCCATGGAAGCCTATCTAATTCCATACGAAAAAATACATATATACTATGAAAATCCTATCCAAGCCTTGTAACAGCACTCTATCAAACAACTCTAAAAACACCTGCTCCGTCACAAAAGTTTAACTAAAACGTTTCAAGACAAGGTCTAGAATTGCAGAATGAGCACAGAAGCTAAGGAATCTACCCTCGGGACAAACTTTGTCAATAGAAGCACGCCCTTGGGCTTTGCATTCGGTGCCTCGGGAGCAGGTCGTTCTCGAGGTGGAACAACGACTCCAGGAAAAGGCGTTTTGCGTCCCGCGCCGTTAAAAAATCTCGATGCATATCAAAAATAAAAGGATACTTGTTGCACGGCCCGCTGAGTAGCCGTATCCGGGCTCTGGGACTCCTTCAGAAGCGCCAAGATTTGCCTGAGTCCTTCCTCCTGTGGTTGCCACGCCATTTTCATCGTGTTTTTCAACAGCACCACCGAACGCAGCCACCCTTCGCTGACCTCGCGGACGAACGGAAGCGAGCCACAGATCCCCCCACCGCCGCGCCGAGACAGCATCGCCGGCGAAACTACAAAATATCACTCGGACACGATGAATCGAAAGAAAATCTCGACGCGAAAGACCAATACTAGTTGTCGTTCGCAGTTTCTGCCAATTTTCCGCCGTTTTACCGATAATTTTTCGACTTCCCGCGATCCGTTTGGACAAGCCAGCGCGGACAGTTGAACGCAACGTCGCTGCAGCAGACGAGCACATCCGGCGCGCGGCCTGTCATCCAGCGGCCATGTGGCCAACTACATACCTACCTAGGGAGCCGCCATCTTGGACGTTAGCTCGACGATATACCCAAAATGGCGCCACATTTGAACCAACACATTTCTTTCTACCGGCGCATATCGCATCTTTTCCTCGACACGGGGAAATACGATTCAAATGTTTTCGACCTCTTCGACGTTCGCCACTCGCGGCTGTACATTTCAAAGTCCCAAGTGAGCTTTAATAATGTAACTTTAAAACGTTGTGCAGCATTTCCCTGCCGATTCATGTTAACAATTTGACAAAAACTAAATGAACATCTGAACCAAGTTTTAAACGACAACCCGAAATGTTCGCTAGCAAAAGCACTCATCGGTGAGGGATTTTTATACGGAAATGTCATCGCTGACGTTGTACAGAAAATGTAACGTTGAGGTACTCACGTGTGCAAGAATATTCTGCAAATGAAATGGCAGCGGTGCCGATAGTCGAAAAAAAGACGAGTGTAACAGGAACCGGAATTACTGCTGTCGGAAAAGATGGAGAAAAATCAGAGCGAAAATTAACGGTCTTAGAGTCGCACGGTTATACTCTGGGAAGAACTATTGGTGCTGGATCCTATGCTACAGTCAAAGTACGGAAGATGATTTAACATCCCTTTAAAGTTAACATTTTTATTTCACGCATATTTATGCGCAACAGGTTGCTAAATCCGACCGGCATGACTGCCAAGTGGCAGTGAAGATAGTTTCAAAGTTCCAAGCACCGGGGGATTACTTGAAGAAATTCCTTCCCCGTGAAATCGAAGTCGTCAAAGGACTGAAGCACCCGAATTTGATTCGTTTCTTTCAAGCGATAGAGACGACGCATCGGTCAGTCCATACTCTACCACAGATCCCTTTTCTTCATGTCACAAAAAATCCACTTCCATCCTTGTTTCCTACTTTCCTTTTCCATAAATCCAAACCAAATAAGACATATGAATATAGGGTTTACATTATAATGGAATATGCTCAAAACGGAAGCCTTTTAGACGTGATTCGTCGCGACATTTACATTGATGAAGGTCGTGGCCGTCGATGGCTCCGACAATTGGTCGATGCAGTTGATTACTGCCACGAACGAGGTGTGGTCCACAGGTATAACATCATAAAATGAAAATCATTTAAAGGGAGTTTTACGCCATGACTTTCCTCCAGGGATATAAAATGTGAGAATCTTTTAATGGACCAGGATATGAATATCAAACTGTCGGACTTCGGTTTCGCTCGAGGACACATGAAGCCTAAAAACGGAATAGCTCAGCTGAGTGAAACATTTTGCGGAAGTTATGCATACGCTTCTCCGGAAATATTACGAGGAATACCGTATCAGCCTCAAATGTCCGACGTATGGTCAATGGGTGTGGTCTTATACGCGATGGTATACGGTCGGCTCCCATTTGACGATACTAACTACGCTCAGCTGCTAAAGGTACCCAGGTACTTACATTCCATAACTTACAAAAACTACATTCCATACTCTTGCAACATTAAATCCGATTAATGGCAATGTTTAATCCTAGATTTCCGAGATGCAAGACTGTATCTTTAGTTTTTATGCAACTACGCAGGCTATAAGAATATGCTATACTTTTATCTGATTTCCCGTTTTAGCAAGTTCAAAGTAAGGTGACATTCCCGAAAGAACCGAAGGTATCGCATACGTGTCGCTCCCTAATCACTCGTATTTTAACACCTCAAAGAATGCGTCTACGTACTGTCCACATAAAAGAGGATGCATGGTTAGCCGTATCTGTAGCGACTGCTCAAACGTCAACAGACAAATCAATGGTATTTTACACATTTCACCCTACTTATTTAAATCCAAAACTATACTCTACAAGTATATACATTTTTCAGGAACATCTGCCATCAATTTTAATCAAGAAAGGGGTCAAGAAGGTGGATCAGCAAAGTTCGTCAACTGCTCCAACGAATTTGCTAACAATGGAAGTGTTGGCCGCGAAACCAAAAACGGCAAATGTGTCAACTACCGATGACGAGTCAATAATTGCCACAGAACCGCGATCGTCCACTACTTATATAATTGAAAATAACTATCACAATGCGAAAAATCGCGTTCAGGATAACCGAAAACCATCATTTTAATGAATTCTTAGAAGTGCTTTGGTTTTTATGCAACTCTTTTTTTTCTTTACTCTACTTTTAATAACATTTTCTCATACAAACGTCGTCTCTCTCGTCACTTCTTCCCAGGGAAAATTTATTTCCTTTTTGCAAAATAAAATATTGACAGTCATTGGCAATTAACATTATTTATTTACTAAATTCTTTTCTACTACTCACGGAAAGGTCCGTCTTATATGAAACTATTTAATGTATAAGTTTCTGATAATTAAAGTAGTAACAAGTACGGTGGTAATGATTAATTGCTTTGCGCAATTTTTGGCTTTTGAAATGTATTAAAATTAGTAGTCAGGCACTTTGCACTGAATTAGATAGAATCTCGGAATTTTGCTATGATAAGTATAACTATCGTCGCAATGATAAAGAAACCGGATGCAGTTGTTGCTTGAATATCCGGTACGTGATCTGGGAATGTATGGATTTCAATGTTAATAGTCAATAAAATTAAGACAAATACATCGTATTACTTTCATATATAAATGTATTGTTTTACCTTCGGGAAATGCTGGTGGATCCCAGCCCAAACTGCGCTCAATTGCCATTTTCCATTGACAGTACATTATATCCCGATCTAAACATAATTGAAAAAGTTGAAGGTACTCGAAATAGAATTATTAACGACCAATGTGTTAATAAACTTACCGTCTTCGGATATAGATGGGAGAAAAACATCACTTGGTACGGTAGAATCTGGATCAACATTCCACCTACGGATTCCTTCTGCACTACCTGCAGCAATTGCTGCACCAAGTGCAGTTGTTTCTGACATGAAAGGTCTAACTATCTTGGAAGATAAATATTTCATCAATATTTATCCATGACTTATAAATAATTAATGAATAAAAATTACCAGAATCCCTACTCACACACTGGAATTCCACAAATGTCAGCTTGCATTTGCATTAATAAGTTATTAGATGTCATAGCACCATCAACTAATAAATTCGATAAGGGTAATCCTGTATCTTTCTTCATAGATTCTAAAATATCTCTCGTTTGAAAACAGACAGCTTCCAAGGCTGCTTTAATAATGTGCGCTCTGTCTGTGTTTTCAGTTATTCCGCAAATAACACTGTAATAATACCAGCAAAAAGATCAATCAAAATTCATTTTTATGGATTGAAATTTTCACACGTTTCATAACAGTTAAATAATAATATACTAACCTTCTAGCATCTTGTTTCCAATATGGAGCATACAGACCAGAAAAGGCAGGTACAAATACAACATTACCATTGCTGCTTGTTATGCTTTTGGTAATGTTTTCAGAATCTTTCACATCGTCCAGAATATTAAGATTATCTCGTAACCATTGCATAACTTTACCAGCTATAGCTACGGAACCTTCAAGAGCATACATAGTTGTTGCATTTGGACCCATCTTGTATGCAACTGTCGTCAACATACCATGAGTTGATTCTGCAATCTAATTTTTGTTTAATATAATACATTAGAAAATGTAGTACATTTTACATTAGCTCAGTGACTTTCAGATCCATGCTCTCAAAAAGAAGTAATGTCAACTCAATTATGAACTACTTAAAACATAACTTACAGCAGGACCAGGGATCCATGCTCTCAAAAAGAAGTAATGTCAACTCAATTATGAACTACTTAAAACATAACTTACAGCAGGACCAGTGTTGTATAAAAGGAAACACCCAGTTCCATAAGTACTTTTTGCCTGTCCTTGTTGGAAACACATTTGTCCTACCAACGCTGATTGCTGGTCACCTAGGCACTGATTCAAAAGACTTTGTAAATAAATCTTCAACAGTTTTAATCAAAATTAAACGTCAAATATCCACATCATCTCAAAAAACTTATAGAACTGGAGATAAAATAAAAGACAAGTATCTACTCCTGATATGGGAATTCCTTGAAGGGGGCCATCAGCAATGCGGCCATAAATTTCAGATGAACTGCGAATCTTTGGCAAGATGAATGCTGGTATTTTAAAAAACGTGAGTAAAGTTGGATCCCATTCCAGTGTTATAATGTTCATCAACATTGTTCTGGATGCATTTGTAACATCTGTAATGTGAATACCATTTTTCGGTCCTCCTGTTAAATTCTGCAAATAGAATTTTAGAAATGCACTGCCCATATCTTATCAAAATTATAACACACTGAAAATGAAAATTGTTAAAACAATATTAGTATTCCAAAGTTACCTACCCAGATTAGCCATGAATCGACAGTACCAAATAGACATCTCTTATCTTTAATTGCATTTTGGACAGCTGACACATTCTTCATCATCCACTTTAATTTTAATGCACTAAAATAAGGACTCAGTGGTAATCCACAGAGCGGCTTAAGATAATTTTGGTCTCGATTTCGAACATGATCTAATAATTCGTCCACAATGCCTGTTGTCCGCATATCCATCCATACTGTTGTGGGAAGAGAACAACATTGATCTTATGGAATTAAATATCCCTCGTAATATACATCCAGTATATCAATGAATAATATAATTTCATTTATAATATGCCAGTTTTGCTTCGAAGAGTTACTTACATTGAATTAACATAATAAATAACAGAAAAAGAAATAATCTAATAAATGTTTTAAATAGTAACATGTGGATCATATTCAACGTTACAAAATTTTTTAATTCTTTACCTATAGCTGGACATAACGGTTGCCCTGTTATTGGATCCCATACTATTGTCGTTTCTCTTTGATTTGTTATCCCAATCGCAACTAGATCATTGGGATCGATTTTGAGTTGTTTCAAATTTTTCACTACTTCTACAAGGCATTTCTTTGTTGCGTCTAAAATCTCCTCAGGATTCTGATCAACCCATCCTTCATTCGGAGTAAATGACTCAATTTCTATTTGGTAATATGTCAACACTTCGGCAGTATTGGCATTGAATACCTTAAAAGACAATTTGTATTACATTATCAGAAACCAGTGTATTGTCTTGCAACAATTTCCAGTCATTAAATCGTACAATTTATACATTAATATATGAATTATAAATATATAAATACATAGAATCAAATTTTGTGAAGCAGAATATGTAACAATTACATACCGAGTAAAAGGTTTTGAGTGCAAGTATTTTTTAACATACTTATTGCTGATAAGTATCTGTGATAAAAATGCAAATTTTTGCGCGCGTTGATAAGACATGATCGTGACAGCACGTCAGCATTTCAATGCTTACCAAAAATCTGACACTGCCCGTACCCGCGTCGATGGCTCCGACGAGAGGACCAATTCGACGCATTTTTTAACATTTGTCAAAAACATTAAAAAGTCTGTAGGTCCATTCGTTATATCGTATTTTGAACGATCGTCGCGTTAATTCATCTCGAACAGAGCATATACCGTGGACAAGAGCCCGCTTCCGCCATAGTGAATCAGGAAAACCCTGCCGACCAATCGGGAATAATTTAAAATTAACAACATTGTAAACCTCAAGCCTATTTTACTGGGTCAGCGTCACACTTGATAACACATTAAAATCGCTTAAAGGAAAGTTTCATGAGTTTCCACAAAGTATTTGAACCCGAAATTTTTTCGTTTTTCTTTTTATACTCATATTTCCCGGTCGATTAAACGATCGCGAACAAACTCAATGGCAGTATTTCCCATGAGCAACCTACAGAGATGAGTTGGGAGATTGCTCACGGGCAGGAACGTGTGATCGCATCCTGTGCTGCCCTCTGGTTTCGTACGTTAGCTTTCACCGTTTTTTGCTCCCAAGGGCGGCGCAACGAATTTCTGATAGGACCCGCGCACTCGCGATGGCGGTACCATCTATCAGTCGCCGTTGGCGGCTCACGTATTCGTGATGGTAATACCATGCGGCAGTTGACGGTGGTGACTTACCTACGCTTACCTACACTGCTCGCATTTGATGGTAATGGAAGAACACTCGTGACGCTCCATTTGACTTTATCTACTTATCTACTACTATTAAGTACATTGTTACATGGAAGCCGACGTGATGCGGAGCTTTGGGGCATGCGTCGGTATCGCGTACGGAACTCTCGTGCAGCGAATCTGTGTGAGTGCGATAGCTCCTAGAAATCTTCGCGCGTCCCAACCAGTCAAGCGCCAAGCTACAAATCGAGACGTTGAGCATGTGTGCATTCGGCGCTATACTCGTCAAGTATACGTGAGACTCGAAAACTGCGAAAAATCCTCCCGAGGCTTACCTAACTGCGGATATAAGCCGAGTCATTTCGCGCATGATTTTCACATTTCCCTACTAGCGTTATCGAGAGTTTTTTAGGCATTTCTAGAGAGTTTTTGAACGTCTTCGAACGTTTTCGAGCGTTATCGACCGTTGTCGAGCGCTTTCGGAGCGTTTTCGAGCGTTTCAGAGCGGTTTCGACCACTTTCGAGCGTTTTAAGACCGTTTTTTAGCGTTATCGAGCGTTTTTCAACCGTTTTCGAGAGTTATCGAGCGTTTTTCAACCATTTTCAAGGGTTTTTAGAGTGTTTTCGATCGTTATCGAGCGTTTTTCGAACTTTGTCGAGCGTCATCGAGCGGTTTTCAACCGTTTTCAAGTATTTTTCAAGTGTTTTCGAGTCTTATCGAAGGCCGTACAGTGTTGTTGCGTGTTGTTAAGTGCATTAGAGTGCCGGAGAGTGCCGGAGAGTGTCGGAGAGTTGCCGCAGACTGACGCAGAGTGCCGGAAAGTTGCCGGAGAGTCCGGAGAGTTGCCGCAAAGAGCCGGAGAGTGCCGCAGAGGGCCGCAGAGTGCCGGAGAGTGCCAGAGAGTGCCAGAGAGTGCCGTAGAGT